ATGTCCCATGAAAACATTGTTGTATCTCTTCATCTGGCTCCGTCCCGAGTTCCTCCCAGCAGGCCTCTAATGGCGTTCCACTCCCTGATTCATATCGCTGCAAAAGACCCGCCAGCCAGCGCTAATGAGCCGGGAGGGAGAATAATGAGCTCCGGTGGGCGGAGGACGGGATCAATAGTTGAACGGTTGGTCCAACATGTTACACGCTGCAGCCAGAAGCAGATTCCCTTGGTCTCCACCCGGTGGGCTTGTTTCTTGGTGATCTTGCCGCTGGGGGCTGACGGAGGAACGTCCCCATGGAAGGAGCAGCCAGAGGACGCCTGGTCCTCTTGTCTCTCTCACTTTGAACTCCAGTCGGAGGCAGTAAACGGTCTTTGCTATTCAGGACCTCCCTGGATCTTAAAGTTGTGAATTCAAACGACGGCAGAAGAAAAGCACTTTGTGAGTCCGACTCAGACGAGGTGACAACAGCACGGTGAACTCAGCGCCTCGTCGAAGTCGCAGTCGACTGTGGGGGGATTTTAAGGTCAGGGTCCCGGCGGCGTTCTGAGAGGCCCTGATGTTTTCTAAGCGATATCCATGTCACCCACGGTCAGTTCCTCTGGAGTCTAAAAACAGGGGGGTGACGGCCCGTTACGTGACGGAAAGTTGCACCGGTGCCCAGAATGTAACCCCGTTACTACTAGCTGATCGAATTACAGCAGCTAGTCACCACCGCCCGTCGCCCTAATGACCCCCGCAGGCCCACCATGCAAACACAATTTCTGGCGTCGCTTCGGGGTGATGAGCGTCTCCAGTCACATGGAGCTGCAGGTTAATCGTTCTCACTACAGGTTGTTTTTGGTCTCCAGCACCTCCCCTGGGAAGCATCTGCCTCTGGAGCTAAATGCTAATAGTAGGGACCCCTCCTCCCCCCTTTTCCTTCCTACCTTTTCATTTTTCTGGATATTTTAAGATTAAGATCCCTGTTTAAAAGCCCACGTGTAGTTGTTCCATATTGATCGCTGCTTATCAGTGTAGCAGGCGCCCTCCCCGGCACCACAGCGATCAATAGAGCTTTATTAGCGCCCCCCCCCTCCCTTCTTGGCCTACTTACACAGAGCTTCCTGTTTGAGCCACGTCTCTGCTCCTCGACCCAAACGGAGCCTCCAGCCACCTGTTAAATCAGTGGCAACTTAACGTTTTTAACATCGAACGTGAGGTTTAAAAACCGTAAATGACACAAACCTGACAAGCTTCAAACGTTGAAGCTTTACCTGAAGATATTTATACCGCGCCGCTGCTTGAAGGGGAGCCGGCGGTGCTCTTCTCCTCAGGGATTTATATGTAGACTTTACGTTTCTGGTCAGAAACAAAACCGTGAGCTCTGGGGAATTGTGATCGAATAACAATTTACTGAGATTTAACTGGATTATCATAACAAATATTAGTAAGTAAAGAGCAGAAAGCGGAGAGCAACCCCCCGCTTTGCCGGGTGGAGAGCAGGCGGGGGTCTAGGAGACGTTAACTCCCGGTTCCTGTGGTTCCTGTGGTTGGACCCAGAGCCTCCCGGCAAAAGAATCTCCTGCCTGATGGAAAAGGACCAAACTAAAATAAGAATCGTCTTCCTCATTTTGTTGAATTTGCATTTGATCCAACAAGCAAGTGGTGATTCACAAGCCACCAGGGCGTCTTCATCATCCAAGTCCTTTCTAAAGTTAAGTGTCTGTTTTATAAAGTGCCCTCCTGTTGTTGTTGATGATGTTAAACAGGAAGTAGCAGCTGCTACTTCCTGTTTGTGCTACTACTGATCGCTCATCTGGAACCAGAAGTTTTATCACACACACACATATATATATATATATATATATATATATATGTACATATATGATGACGATTGGCAGGATCTTCATCAGAACACACGTCGCTGGTTTCGATCAATGAAGACTTGTTAGTGTGTGTGTGTGTGTGTGTGTGTGTGTGTGTGTGTCAGAGCTTGCACCTGGCTCCTAGTCTGTGCCCCAAAGACCAGAGGGGTGCAATAAAGAGCGGCCTTGTCCACGACAACCCACACACGACTTTCTCACACACACACACACACACTTTCTCACACACACACACACACACACGCTTCCATAAAGCAGATTCCGCCATCTGTGATTTTAACACAAACTATCCGGGTTTGTTGACAACCGATCACGTGACAGCATACATTACAGGTTTGGCACATGATGCATGAGAACCTGTGTGTGTGTGTGTGTGTGTGTGTGTGTGTGTGTGTGTGTGTGCGTTGGTCCAGGATGCCCCCCCTCCCTCCCCTCAGCATTTCCTTCCTCCTCGTCATCGTTCTGTTTGTCTTCCATCTTCGTCCTCCTGCTCATCATCTCTGCAGACGTCCTGTGTGTGTTTCTGAACATGGGATTCATTTCTTACTGTCCCGTTTGTCTCTGGTCGTTTGGGCTCCACCTCTTCCCACCACGTTGGCCAGCTGTCCTCTGATTGGTCTCTTTGCTTGAGGAGAGAAGTCGAGTCTTTTGCTCGCGGGCGTCTTCAGGCCCCGAGCAGTCGCCAATACGCGGAGATCTCCATCTAAACGAAAGGTGTACTCTCCCTCAGTCAGCGCAGTCACCTCCTCCCCCCTTTAGAGGTGAAGCCCTGGGGTCAGAGGTCACCCTAGCTGAAGGATCACTGGGGCACCGTATGACCTCCGGGGTCAGGCCCTCGTTAAACCGGGACGGGACCCCCAAGACACGATCCTCTGCTTTTAAACTGAACTGACTTATTTCCTGCTTAAGCGGAGGTTTATTTTGAAAATACTTTATTTGGGTAATTGGTGGGAAAGGGCACAGAAACTGTTTTAATCCGTGAAGCGTCTTTAGAAACGCTTTTAAATGATGGATCCAGTGAGGACTTATTTCCACACGTTTCATCCGTCTGACTCCTGGAAGCTGACGGCTCCTGACGGATGACGTCGTTTCCTTAAACATCAGAGAAGGTCCCCAGCAGACCAGATCCCCTCACGCTGCTTTCACTGCCTCCGATTGGAGGAACGGGAACTCCATCATACCGGGGATATTCCTTACCGGCCGCTGTTTAATGCGGAAGAGAC